GGCGTGGTATACATGAACACAAACGAGGAGCGGAAAAACAGGGAACAGGACTGAACCAAATGCACAAAGACAGGGGGAACACAGACAGACATCACAACATTATGAAATTATGGTGATTCCGACCTGACGGGAAAACCTCGATTCAGAAGTTTAGCCGCTTACAACACAACAGTGAAAATCCCAAAGGATATTTCATTCAAGTGAGGACTTATACACAGGGGAACACGTATGAGAAAAAATTATGGATCCGCTGTCACACTTTCTACAAGATTTGTCACTAAAGTTTGCAAAGAGCCCAAAGGTCAAGGCAGAGGAAGATAGAAAACCGAAATCAAGTCAAGAAAGACCCACACAGCTGAAAACGCAGGAAGATCCAGAGAGATTCTTCCACTACTAGGTGAGCGACATGACAACCCTCCCACCGAGCCAGAGATAATGTGATTGATAGCCAATCAAGCCTGTAAGACTGATGGAGTTGCCGCTTTAGGAAGGCCATCAATGATCATAGCCTTTGTCCTTTGGGTGGAATCATTGTTATATTGTTTTTGACCTTCAGTAGGACAGAATCCTGCAGTCATTCATGACACTAACAGCACAACCTCGACCAAACTATTACTCAGGGTTTGCCCTCCTACGTACTTCCGCTCAATTTTCATTTTCCTTCAGTACTACGTCTGGGTTTGCTGTATATTCTTTGGTTTTCTCTGATCAATTTTTTATTGGTCCAATCAGCGAACAGAGGGAGTGGCTGAGAACGATGACGTTGATGTCATGCGCTAGTTTGAGTCGTCAAACGTCACGACCAAATGTCAGCGATTGGTGGCAGATCCAGAGTGACTCTGGGCAGATCCAATAGTTTTAACTTCAATAGAGTTTCCCGCCTTCAAGGAAGTTAACGCTTGTCAATGGAGCGAGACCAGGCTTTCTGTACAAATGAAAGGTACGAGAGTCTGGAAGGACCAGGCTAGCTCCAGACATTAATGATTCCTCAAATCTTGTGTTGTTGAAGTGATTAGTCGCATTATTTTCATCTGCTGGACGATACGACGGGGCAAGTAGCAATTGACAGGTGAACATCATAAATCTCATTAAAGGGTTAGTTCACCCCAAAATGAAAAATCTGTCAGTAATTACTCTCCCTCATGTTGTTCAACCCCGTAAGACTTTCGTTCATCTTCAGAACACAAATTAAGATATTTTTTATTAAATCTGAGAGCTGTCTCACTCCTCCATAGGCTTCTAAGGGATCGAAACTGGCGTTATTAAAGCAGGGCCTGAATTTCGTTTTGGAAAATGGGGGGGAAATCCCCCTTTAGATGATTCTCATGGGGGGGATTTTTTTTGTTTGAGGGGGAGAAAGGGAAAAGCATTTTTTTCCAAACAAAATTATTACATTTATCTTGCCTAAATGTTTGCGCTCATTGCATTTTTCCAATGGGGTAATATTGTTGTTAAGAATTTACACATCACAAGGAAGCTTGATTTAAATTGTTCAATTAAATTGAAAAAAGTAGCACAAATAAATACAATAGAATAAAGATACAAATAAAGACAATTAAAGAGAAAAGTTTTTCAATGGGTCTAACACTAGTATTCATATACAGAAACTGAATAAAGTAACCAAATGGAAAATAACACTGGGTAGTATTTTAGTCCTGAATAAATTAAATAGATAGGCTATTAATCCTGATTCCTTTAACTTAAAGCTATCTTTTGTTGTTTTGACAACAAAATTAATGACACACACATATGGCTGCCGTCACTTTAAGAGCTAGTGCACGGATTCATGTGTTCATTATACTGGCATGCGTTTTATGCTTAGGCCTATTAAGGACAAAACCGACTATGTTTAGAGTATAGCCTACTCACAAAGACCGAAATTGACAATTTTGCGTGTTAAAGCAATATAATCCGCGAAAAATAGTTACTGGCCAGCTGTTTTTGAGGCGGATTTTCTATGAATGTGCGCATAGAAAATAATCTCTCAGAGAGCGCGAGCACTGATTAGTTTAAAATCGCTTGAATGTTTAAACTGTAAAGACTTAAAAAGACTTCAGTCACGAGGCACTGCTGGCCCGATTGTGCAAGTGAATATTCCGTGATGTCCCGACCTTACAGTCTATGGTCCCGAGTCCCGACTCCCAAACGCGAGTGTGTATTATCGCCGCAGCGCTTGATGCCTGCCTTGCACAACACATTATGAGAAGAGATAGAAGACGCGCGCGGCACCGCTGAACACTCACGCTGTTTGTAAAATTGCGTCTGGAAGATAGTTGTTAAAAGAATGATTTGATTTTATTATCTGTGTGGATTACGATTGTGGGAATTTCCCGCATTATAAATGGGAGACCTGCGGGAATGATTAGAGTTATGCGCAATACCCGCAATCCCGCGCCGAAATTCGAGCCCTGTAAAGACATTGTTAAAATAGTCCGAGTGACTACAGTGGCTCAACCTTAAGTTTATCAAGCGACGAGAATACTTTTTGTGCGCAAAAAACAAACAAAAATAACGACTTTATTCAACTATTCATTTCCTTCTCTGTGGGCCTCGAGATTTCACGGCTTTTTTTGTACGTCTCACCGCACCGGCACGCAGTTTGCGCGTCTAAATTGCAAAGTTCATTGCAAAGTTTTTTTTTGTTAAGGTTTTGTTTACTGTGTGTGATTTATTTAATGGAAAGCACATTCACTTCTAGTTGTCTTGCTGTTAATTTTAAATAAACGTAGAGCAAGTAGCTAACCAGTGTCTGCTCGTTTATTCAAGTTGTTCTATAACAGACGAACGTCGCTCTGATTGGTTTTTAGGTTTATCCAATTGCGCCCAGAGGCATTTAAGCTACGTCCGTTGGTGACGCCCCTTTGGAAATGATTTGTTTATGAAGCTTTGCCTAAGTTACAACTGAGTAGGGATGTAACGATTCACTCGCAACCGGTTGAAAATCGATAAAAATGTGTGACGATTCAAGTCGGTTGAAATGTTAAACGAATCGCGATACACGTTTTAAACAGCAGGGCGCGTTTACTGTATAGCCTACTGTGAAGTTGTGAACCTCGCGTTACAGGCACAATAGCAGCGAGCACACACTGGCGTGAAGCTAGCGAGTGTTTTCACTTCATTCATGGAACTTGATCCTGTGTGAGCCAAGCTCAACTTCCATAGGAATGAACTGAAAACGCTCGGTTTGCTCCGCTCGCGCCGCGCCAGTGTGTGCCGACTGGTGTGCACGCGCCGTCAAACAGTAGACATGGCGACGGCAAGCGTAGATGTTGACGTTGACTCAAATCGGAGGTGTGGCGGCATTTTGACTTTCCGTAGACTAATAATAATCACCACCGTGAGAAGCACCAGTCACCTCCGTTTTCATGTAAAAGTCATTAATACGACAATTGCGAGAGCCACGGAGATCACTGCTATATTTATTTTACTACCTTTCTCTAAATGTGTTTTTTTAACTCTTACTAGTGTAATGATACAAATTATAACAAAATTAGAATCTTGCCTTTATTACAGTGTAAAACCCCTGTCAATCTGGTACTAATTTTACAGTTTTTTACATAGTGTGCGAAGGTACCAGTGTCCAGCCTCTTGACCAAACAGACAGAAAGACTGAGTTGAAACAACCTTGAAGGGAATTTTTTTAATGTAGTTTTATTATTTTACAAATATATTTTAAATTAAAAAGAAATGTGCAGCATTTTGTCTGAGAAATAATAAAAGGGACACTTTTGTCTTAAATCTCACTTGTTAAAAAAAATTGTGAGAAAATCGTATCGTGAAACCAGTATCAATCGTATCGCATCGTGAGATGAGTGAATCGTTACATCCCTACAACTGAGAATGGTCTGGTTTTAAACAGGCTAATGGCAAACACCACTAAATATAAATGTATGCCTAATGCTAACTCTCTCAATGTATATTTGGCTATTTTCCACTCTACGTTATCAGAAGTAGTAAATCCAGCTATAGTATGAGAATTCAGTATTTTTTGAGCGCCTGATCTACATCATCCTCACACATGATGTGACTCTGAAAATCCCAGTTCTGGAATTTTTATGATAAGGTGTGAGACGATGTTCCCCACAAAAAAAAAAAGTCATTTATGTTAATCCTGTTCATTCCCACTCCTACATTTTCTCTGCATGTCATGCTTGACTCAAGAACTGCTGTGGGAGCACTGTACACTGCTATATTACATCTCATCCACAGCTGTAACACACACTAATACATACATTACAAACAATGCGATTTTGAGATGTGATCCTTCCATATTTATTTATTTTTAAAGAAAAACTGTGACAAAAGCATTATCTGACGACAAAAGATTATCTCTGAATATATATGCACTATATACAGTGCAATTATAATGAAAGACAACCAATCACATTATCCAAATCTTCAACTGCATAACGTGCCAATAAAGTGAATTTGCCAATGACTGCCAAACCACTCAACGCCCTAATGAATGTAATTTATGTTACACAAGGCATATGTGATAGACATATTTACATTATATAACATTCAACAACATATGTACAGATTTTTCTCTTCACACTACATTTATTCAGTCTGAAATAAGGGATAACTGAATACGAATTGCGCGTTACATGGATCGAACTGATCACGTGTTATCGGAAATGTCCTACTTCCCACTTTTGAAGTCTTGATTACGAGTTTATCGCATTCAAATTTTTATTTGAAAGGGCGTTCATGTCCTATTGTTTAACTAGGAAATGATCATTCCTATAGAAAGTGAAGGCAGCGTTAATTATTGTAGTCTTATCCAACATACACATTCAAGACATTATATCAAGAGTTCACAAAAACATACTCCATAAAGCATCATTCGAATCATTTTTACATTTAACTTAACTTAGTAACATTTAATGTGCTAATTATAATTAAGAACGTACTAATTTTAAAGCTATTTTTAACTGCGTAACAACACACAACCGTCGAGTTCGCTGGAAACGTCAGAAATCCAGTCAGCTTTCTCTTACCTGTGGCGCCGTGTGTAAACGGGCATTTCTCAGGAATATCAGGATGATCTGAGCAGCGGGCTCGACGGAGACATTGATATTCACTTGACATCCAAATAAAGGTAGTTATTAGCAGTACTTTATTCCGGTTTATGGACGCGCGTTATGAGGAAGCGTCCGTGAAGCTGCGCGCGAGACCAAATGATTCCCACGCGCGCGCTCTGACTGGAAGTGATTTGCGCGCCAATCACGCGCCTCCCGCTTTCCCCCCAAAAGAGATTCGCTTAGTCAGTGTTTGTGACTGACAACCGTGTTTACTATCAACGATGACTTACTAGGCTACACAAGAGCGGAGACTGTCTGTGATCAGGTAAGCGATTTATCCAGCCTTAACTATGGAATCTTAATTAGGCTACGACATAAAAATTAATACCATTTTTTTAAAGAGTTTTTTTAATGCATAAAAAAGTAGAAATTATGAAATACTAGGCTAAGTCATATTTATGACATGGAATGTTGAAATTATGAGATAAAATCTAAGTGAGGACACGTAGTCTACAACATCATAATTATGAGATTTAAAAATCGAAGTTATTACTTTCTGGGTCATTCCTACTATTCGGTGCCATTTCAGCTTGGTAAATTTCCAAAAAAAAAAAGTAAAAATTTCCATGATTTATTCATTTTATCTGAAGAATGGTTTGTTACACTACAAGAAAAATATATTGGTCCAGCTCAGGATATCACTCTTTAATAATTTTGACCAAATTCTTCACACATGCAAAGGCCAAATGTCCACCCTGTTACAGGACATTCTCATCTAAATTAATAAATGTTTTGAATTCACAGTTATTGTAATATTTACATTTTCTAAGAGCTCAAATGTCCCTCACTTTACCCCGCAAATGTATTTTAACAAAGTGTTCATTAACGAGCATTATCTTAAAAAAAGTTGTATTTTAAGCCACAGTGGTAATTTCAACACATTTCTTTTAGAATAAAAAGACATTTCAATGGAATTTTGCCGCATTTTTTAATTATTTCATTTTGCCATTTCATTCCCTAAAATTAACCACAAAGATATGCATAACATTTGTTGAACTTATTTTATTAACTTAAAATAATAATAAAAAAACAGAGGTAACAGGGTGGACAGAGGGGTAACAGGGTGGACATCACACCACTAAACAACAATAAATGTTATCAACTCATTTACCCTGGCACCCCCTGAAGGTATATAACAAATAAATGTATAATAAATTAATTATAAGTACCAATTCAAGCTGTAAACACTCATTTATTTAGCATTTACGCCCACTCTGTTACAATATGTCCACCCTGTTAGTGTGCAAAAGAGTAACAGGGTGGACAGTAACAGGAGGGACATTTTATGCTAAAGTTAGCCATTGCTACAAATGTGATGAAAAACAAGCTAGTGCGCAGTGATTATTGAGGAAGATTTTTAACCTGTTTATTAACCATATTTTCAAAATTACAAACAATTATCAGTTTCCTCTATAAATAGGCATAACAGGGTGGACATGTTATGCTTTACCACTTCAGTGAATCATTCTAAAACATTGAAAAAAGAGTGAATTAAGGAATGATACTTACTCTGCTTCTTGAAGATAATTTGCCACCAAAAAGTATTAAAATTCTTGAGAGACATGTGATTAGAGGAACAGTCAATGGGCGTGTTCAGAGGGATTTTCCATCAGAGTAACAGGGGGGACATTCAATTCAGGGACACAACATTTTTTAAAGACTTTAAGTATTAAAAATGTATAACTAACAAAAAATATATTTTTGTGAGGAATATTATAAATAAGAATATACAACAATATTGAAAAATTTGGAATTTATTTGATTTTTATTACTTATATTTGTGGCTGAAGTTGTGCAAGCTTACTTGGGGACATGGCAGTTTAGCCTACTTGCACTAACATCAGAGTAATTTTTTTTTATTATTAATTAATCCTGGGTACATTTATTGTGTTCTATGGTAAAGGGGGATTAACAATTTAAGATGATCATTTAGAAACAAGTATTAGCCCATTTTTACTCAAATAATACCACATTATGTCATGAGGACTCTAATGGCACCGAATGCTAAGAATGACCCAACAGTTTGTCATAATTTCTACATTTTAATGTCATTTGTCTTAATTTTGACATTTCTCATAATCTCTTGACTTAGTCATAGCTTTATGATTTACAGTAGCATGAATTTTCATCTGTCAGAAATTACTTTTGAATATGAGTGTATATCACAAACACACTCTCACACACACACACACACACACACAGACACACATTCTCTCTCTCTCTCTCTCTCTCTCTCTCTCTCTCTCTCTCTCTCTCTCTCTCTCTCTCTCTCTCTCTCTCACACACACACACACTCTCTCTCACACACACACACACACTCACACAAACACACACTCACACATAAACACACACACTCCGAACTTGCGCAGTGTGCCCGCCTTAACTCTTGTAACCATAGTGACTGTGACAGATAAGTAGCTAAATATCAGTTTTGCACTTCAAGAAAATAATTTTTATTCCAAGTTTAGTATTTTGATCCACTCCTACTTTCCTCATCAGAATGTGCTCAAATACTCTCTGTATGAATATATACATGTTGACAGGAGTGAAACTAGTTGTCAAACTAGTTGTGAAACTAGTTCTGCTGATGTACCACATCATCACACACAATACTGGTTCTCAAAATGAGTTTTTAACCCCTAAAACTTCTGTATTCAAACAGTATCGACACCAAGGTCGTGGGTTCGATTCCCAGATAATATATGACCTGAGAAAAATTAATGCAATACAAGTCACTTTGGATAAAAACATTTGACAATGCATAAGTGTAGCAATGACAATTGTATTTGCTGTTGTATAAACATTAATGTAAACAATACATACAATACAACAAGAAATACAATTCTTCAGGTTTATTTTTTCCTTAAAATGTGTCTTCATTGAATATGGAAGACAAATTGGTACAATGCGGTCATTGTTTAAGGTTAATCGAGTAATAATAATTCTGTTTTAAAACGCTTAACAGAAGCTCTTGAAACTATGGGAATGACAACATGACATCATGACTTTGCGTAAACATACACGCCACTTTCAATTCAAGTGGCGTGTTATCTATACGCATTTTGAGGTATCCGCGTGTATGTCAACGCCGAAATCTTTTGCGTGTATGTCTACGCCATTAAATGTCCGAGTGATTCCGCGTGTATGTGTACGCCGTTAAATGTCCGAGCGAAACGAAGCAAAATCTATATCTACATCTGTGGAGCGATATTTCTTTTCCTAGGATGGTAGGAGAAGACTCATAAATGGTATTAACCCCAGTGACGGGTAGGTTTAGGGACGGGGTTGGGGTAGGTCATATATTTATATATACATAATACAGTAATATAACGTTAAGTCAAAGGCGTTGATAAACACGCTGAAAAGCGATTATGCGTGTTGATAGCACGCCAAAAATGAAAATACGAATTGGCGTGTCATACATACGCCATACTTTCTTCTAAAACATGTTCAGACAGACAAAACCATGGAAGCTTTTTCCCCGCCACAGAATAAATCATTTTTAAAAGATAATTGTGACTTTTTATTGTTTACATCTCACAATTCTGACTTTATATCACGCAATTTCGAGTTTATATTTCGCAATTGTGACTTTTTTTCCTCAGAATTGCATGTTTATTTCACTATTCTGACTTTATAATCCTCAATTGCGACTTTATATCATGCAATTCTGACTTTATAACTCCCAATTGCATGTTATAAAGTCAGAATTGTGAGGCATAAACATGCAATTCTGAGAGAAAAAAAGAATTGCGACTTCATATCACGCAATTCTGACTTTTTTTTCTCTCGCAATTGCGACTTTATATCACTCAATTCTGACTTTATAACTTGCAATTGTGACTTTATATCACGCAATTCTGACTTTATAACTTGCATTTGCGACTTTATATCACGCAATTCTGAGATAAAAAGTAAACTCACAATTGTGAGAAAAAAAGTCATAATTGTGAGTTATAGAGTTACCTTTTTTATTTTTTATTCTGTGACAGAAACAAGCTTCCATACAAAACAGCTTCTTTCTTTCGTAACACACAATTTAAAAAAAAATATTTATCATATTTATGCCACTTTTCATCAGTAAAAAAAAGGTACAATAATATGCATGACTATTTTGAATTAGGCGGGAAAATTTGATCCATAAAGGGGGTTTTAAACAATATTTATGCAAGAACAGAGGGTCAAAGCTGATGCTTCCTGCTCCATATTTAATGCATCTTTTAGCTTTAGTTCACACACACAGTATGAATATGAAGATTTGCTTGTCACAGATAAACACATCACATGTGATCCAGTCCCACGCACTAATCCGGACTGTGTCTCGACACACAAGTGCTCAAGGCACAAGGCATCTATGCATTAAACATCAAAGACACTTGATCTCGGCTCGGATGCTGGTTTGCAGGAAATTTTGGTTGGAAAGGCAGAAAATGAAGCGTCTGCCCTCATGAAAGCCAGATCACGCCGTATCAACAACAGTCTGAAGACCTGGTCAAAACTAAATCTAGTTGAGTTATGCATCTGAGTTTATTGGTGGAGCAGAAGCTGTTATGATATAAAGGTGTTCATATCTGGCTGCTATCAAGCAAAACTCAACAAGTAAAAGCTGCAATTTGGAAAAAACTATTTTACAAACATTTGAATATATGCAATATAGTGCTTGACTGATAAGGATGGTTGATGATGTAATGATGATATGTAAAAATCAATTTCATGTAGCAAATGTATTAAACACATAATTATTCAGTATGCAGTAAAAAAAAAAAACGTATAAGGGGTTCAAGCATGAAACCCTATTGTTATTGTTAGGATTTTCAATGATCAACATTCTGCCTTAAAAATGACCAGTCACACCGAACCGTAAGTCGTAGAAACTTGAAACTTTGAGGGATGGTAGTATCCACCACGTCTACAATTCCACCAAATCTCGCCACAATCGGCCTGACGGTGGCGCTACAGCGATCAAAACACGCTCATATCTCCCAAAGCATTTGGTGCAGACTCAACATTTTGAATATTTTGAAAAATCTACTTTTCAATTAACCTCAACAAAACCAGTGGAGTACAATTCTCTGGGCTCTTTAGGTCAATAGTTATCAAAAGGAAAATGTTGAACTTTACCAT